TCCTAGTACACACATCTGAAAGCAGAGGCAGCCACAATTTTTCAGGAGTATGCAGGCTGCCAAACGAAAGACACTTGCACATCTGTTGACACATGATGAAAAATACAGATATCTTCATGCAGAAGTGCAATTGGCTTACAGTTTGGGAAAAGAGCTCATCCTAGGGCTAAAGATGGTTGAATAATTAACTTACATTTCAGACTTTCAAACATATTCCTGGTTTAAACTATCAAAAGAACTATTTACCAAAGAGGACCATAATTGGAATCATGCATCTGGAAACAAACCTCACTAAACAAAATAGGGCTTATTTTGAATAAACACACAGGATTGTCCTACAAGTTGCTTTTAAAAATGCTGTACTGTCATCAGATTAACAGAATCACTTCCCTGTCAGAACGGGCATCTATATAAACTCTGAAACTAAGAACTGCTGCCTGAATTTTAATTTTGTCCTCTCTTCCTCCAATTCCTTTTCCTTTGGTTTTGTGTCTTTTCAATTGTTGGCCTGAGGGCAGGGCCTGTCTTACTATTAATCTTTGTGAGCTTTTCTGGAAGCCTTTTTTGACTGAAGAGTGGAGTAAAAATGCTAGGAATAAATAAATACATACCTAACCACATTTACAGCACAATCCTATGGCTAACTTTTTGCAAGTACTTCCAGTTGAGTTCAAAGGACTTACTCTTAAGTAAAAGTATATAGGATTTCAGTCATAAGTGCTTGCTTTAACAGAGCTCCTCAGAAAATATAGTTAATGTGAAACAAGATTTAGATCTTAAATAAGTCACTACAACACAAGGAAAGGTAACAGTTTACAATCCCCTTTTCACCCTCTCAATGTAAGGCAAATAGGACCATCATGTAGAAATTCCTTTAGGTGCACATAAGGTTTGTCCTCTCACAACAACTCCTTACTATATAGCTAGTATAATGCAATGGACAGCATGCCAGACTTGGATTCAAATCCTGCCTAGCAAAGTGACCCTGAGACGAGTTAATCTCTTAGCCAAATTCTATTAATTCAGAATGACTGTGAGGCTAAAACAGGAAACAAACCCCACCTACATCATCCTATACTTCAACATGAATACTAATGTAACAAATATATTTCAAATTACATTAGAACTCCCTGAATCTCTATCTGCCCATGAAGCTTTGGTTAATGGGAGGCATATAAATGTAAGAAACTGTAATGGCAATGGCAGAGACTGTGTTGTGCATGTGCGTATGCATTTATATTAATGGTGTGTAAAGGCAGGGACTTATTTTAGTAGAAATAAATAGGATTGCATTGTCACTCTAGTTATAAAATATCTGTTAGAATTCAGTGCACATAAAGGAAGAAACATGCTTCTCTGAGGAATGGATTTCTCTCCTTAACTCTTCAACAGTACTTAACAGTAAAACCTGAAAAACCTGCTATTGTGCTTTAACATGTGATGACAATGCATTGTGTATACCGGTTCTGATAACACTGGAAGATTACTCCATAACTTACACAGCTTCAAAAGCAAGTCACCCACAATAAAGCAAAGATGGCATTTAAGCAAGAAGAGTTCTTTGCATAACAAGCAATGTGAAGATGTAAGGGTAGGAGCTGTCTGACTTTTTTGTTTCTAACTGCCAGACCAAGGACCTGATGCTGACTTCATTTTAATCCAAACTTCTTCAACCCAATGTCCTTCAGATGTGTTAGACCGCAACCCCCATCAGCTCCAGTTAGCAGAGACATGCTGAGTGGCAGTCCAACATGACTGGGGGAGACGGCCTTTCTATGATACAAAGTTCTTTTCCAGTGCCTACCCCACACTATTCTACATGCATAAAATAATCTAGCTAGATGTGCTCACTAGTACATTAGGAGAGAAACATAGTTTTCAGAGGTTTCGGCAAAAATATTTAAAATCCTACATATCACAAAACCAAACATCTAATTGAAGTGGGTTTGCAACTCATGGTTGAAGGCAATCCTCATTAGAGCTAATCTTAGTTTGCCCTCTGAGATTGTAGCAACCTCTGAAACAGCAAGTGAGGAATGAAAAAAGGAAATGCCACACAAAAGGAGATCAGGGTTGGGAGGACATGTTCATGATCCTTCAAACAACCACTAACAGGAGCTCTCGACTGAGTCATTGTGAAGAAGATCTTGCTTAATACATTGTTCCTGATTGTGAGACATCGCTCAGTAGAAATGTTCATCCTTTCTGTAAATCATGCATATATTTGATGTCCTTGTGCTACATCAACTAAGTGCCATTTTCTGTAAACCTCTCCTCACCAACCTTACCATTGCCTATACCCTCAAAGCACCTGGCAGTGGGTACTATACAGAAATAGAGAATGGGTACAGTACAGTACAGAAAATAATTACCAGCTTTGCCTTAAATAGGTCATTATTATTTCTTCAATTGTTTATATCACAGATGGAATTTTCCCTAAGGACAAAGAGAATTAAAAGTTTCCTATTGAAAGATTGAAGGTATCAGAACAATTAAGGCATACTTGTATTTTCTTTTTCTTGGAATATAACAACTTCTGAGCCCTGATGGATCAGATGGAAGGCCCATCTAGCCCAACATTCTGTTTTCAATGTAGTCAAACAGATGCACATTGGGATGCCCAAAAGCAGAACAAAAGTGCTTCAAGCAACTGGCATTGAAAGAACACTGGCATTACTAGAAGAAATATATCATGACTGGTAGCCACTTATAGCCTAATATTTGATGAACTGGTCTAATCCCCTTTTAAAGCTAAGTTGGCATCCATCACATTTGTCCTGAGAACTATGGTTACAGTTTGCGTAGTGAGCAGAGTCCCTGTTTAATTCTTAATTTCCAGGAATTCACTTTCCTGTATGTCTTTCAACAGACATAATAATGGACACTAGATTTGCTCCCAACAAGAGTCCTTTTTAGCTGCATGTGGATCTGTCAAGGGAATAGCTGGATGGAAAGAACTTGTTTACAAATGACAGACTGAACCTATTCACAAGAAACTCTTGCATTATGTGGAGCAGGTGTGAGCTCAGTATCTGCAAAAAGAAGCCTGAGAAAGTTCTGGAAAGAATGACAAAAATGGAGAGCATATCCTAATCTCTCCTGCAAAGAGCATCTCATATACTACGAAGCTAAAGTTTTAAGCATATTTTGAGGAAGTCAGTCCCATCACTTGAGTAAACATGCTTAGAAAAGGCCTGCAAGTTTGCAATCCTAACTTACTGAAGCCACTGACAAACCCCCGATTTTTATGGTGCAGCCAACCTTAAAACCAGTTTTAAAAGCTTTTGAAAATGGAATCATATTCTGAGGAAATCAATTTTTAATATTGTTTTGAATCATAGAGGTTTGTTAATGTTCTTGTTTTTGGACACATCTAACATGGTTTGACTCTCTCATTCGGTAACAGGTTAAAGGAAGGAACAAACTAAAAATAAATGTTCCAGAGTTAATGCCAAAAATACTCATCCTATCCATATCAGTTCTTCAGAAACACTTGGTAGTGCTATTACAGTATTGCACTGTACTTATTCTTGTGTTTTCCTTATATATATTTCCATCATTCAGGCCTTTATTGTCTTTACTGCTTTTAGAGAGTGCAAAAATGTATCCCACTGTTCTAATAATTTTGGTAGTCAGCAAGCTAAAAAGAAGCTCTAATAATATTTATGTGATGAATTCTTCACTCTCTATTTTTCTGGTAGTATCACAATCTATGTTTAACTCCAAGCCATCACATTTGCAGCTACAAGATTATACCATCTATTTTATACTGTATATGGTCACACATTTTACACTTTTAAAATAGCACAGGCACACAACCAGCTGCAAGAACTCAAGAAGGGCTCAGTTTCCCCCAATGGAAAATCTCTACTAGAAGTCAGCATTCTCCGTAGTCAAGCTAAATAAACTAACAATCAGACCATTAAAACCATTGATTTGTATAGCAAGCCTTTCCAATCCCTACTGTATATTTAACAAAAGGTGTTGTTTGCTACTAGTACCACAGCAAAGACAGGTAGCAACCCCCATTTCTCTTCTCTAAGGATGTATGTACAGCAGAATATCTCCTCCCCTTTGCACATAGCCTTTCTATTCTAGTGTGAATATGAACATCATAGCCATGAATTCAAGAAAACTAATTGGAGGCAGCAATTAATTTTAGCATTACTAGTTTTACATCAATTTGCCAGCAAAATTTAAGATCTGAGCCACATCACGGTGTATTTCTTAGCTACTATTCAACCAAGATGCCTGAACTGACTCTTACACTGCAGTCTTATGCATGTCTACACAGAAATAAGTCCAATGAGCTCAGTGGAATTTACTCTCAGGTAAATGGATGCAGGATTGCAACCTAAGAGGCTTAAATAACATGCTTTGGCAAGTAGCTCCTGTGTTTATTCTTGTTCTCCATTGGCTGTGGTCTCTTGTACTTCTGCTGACTCTACAAAAGAGCCTGTCACTAAATCCCACCATTTAATTCCACTTGTCCACTGGGTCATTACAGACAACATTTCCTAATCCACCAGGTAATTTTATAATACCTTGGGCCAGGCACAGCGTAATAACAGTTGATAGGAAGCTATTTTACTCCCAGAAACGCAGTCCTTCTTAATACAAATGCAATGGAGGTGTGAAATACTATTGTTAGTAATAATGTGGGGGGGGGGGTCAAAATCAGTAACAGAATATAAACAATGCAGACTGGTTAGCCAGTAGTTGATCTGATTTCCTACCAGCACTTTATTTCTAGAGCAAGGTGCAGAGCTCAAGGCAGCTGGCAAGACAGGTTTCCTACCATAAAAACCCTGCATATCTGCATATTTATGTGTGGGATGTGGCTGCGGTGACTCAGTGATCAAGGAAGGCCAGTCCTACGCAAGTATTGCCTCCTTCTCCATGCAATTTTCAGGTGCGTCGAGGCAGGGAGAAATCCCTACCCAAAATTCAGGTTCTAGAGGTTGGCACCTGTACAGACCCTGCTGCCTGTTGATACTTACCCATATTGTATCCATAGGGCGACTCTGTGGCTCCATCCTCCAGGCTAGCTAGAATTTCCCCCTTACCCACGTCGCTGTCCCCCACCAGCAGGAATTTCAGCAAGAAGTCATAAGCTTTCACAGGACTGCCCACGTGGTTCATCCTCCTCCACTCCCACCCCTTCCTCTCTCGCCTCACAGAAGTCTCTGCGGAGAATCAGCTCCCAGCGCCCATGACGGGCACCGAACGACCAGATGCGGCACCACGGGCACGGGATGAGGAAGAGTGGCTGGAATGGCGCACACGCAACGGCATGTTCGAACCCCTGAGGGCAGCCGATCTCACGACGCTCGGGTGCCGGTTGGCGAAGCAGGAGGCGGTGCAGGCGCAGGTCGTCGTTTCAGGGCGCCAGCAGCGGGAGGCAAGAGCGAGGAGGCAATGCGAGGCTGCCCCGCAGCCGTGACAAGCTGGAAGGAGTTTTCAGCGGCGCCATCCGCGTTAGCGCACCCGGGCCGGCATGTGCGGGCTTAGCTTGCGTCGCCAGCAGCAAGCGAGAACCGTAGGCAGTCGTGGCGTCCTGGCAAGGGCCTGTCACGACTGGCGAGCAGCAGGTGAGCCAAAAGGCGACGCACGTACGCGACGCGCGCGAGAACGAGGCAGGCTCTGCCCAGAGCCCCGCGCCGGGCAACGAGCTCTCCGGGCTTCTGTCGCGGTTGCTACTCGCCGCTCCCGCTGCTGCCGCTCCCACGTCCTCCTCGAGCACAACACTCTGTCATACGCTTCAACCAACACCCAACCATCCCCGTTCCCATTGGGGCGCGGCTGCTGAGCCACGCCCATTTCCCGTGCCATTGGAAAAGAGCGGGCTGCTCTTTTTCCATTGGTGCAGAGGGATTCCAGGATTCCACCCGCTCTGAAATGATTGGTGGGCTCAAACCCACCCCTCGCGGCCCGACAGTTCAGTTGCTGGGATGTTTCTTCTACAGTACTGGATGGCACACATGCCCGTCACGTTGGCGCGGAACGGCTGTGTTTACACTTCGCAGGACGAGGCATGTGCTTTGCGATGAAGTGTGAGCGTGGAAGCAGGTCGTCCGCACAAGTTCAGTTCCTGTTTCCAGCCCGTTCATCCTACTGACCGGGTTCAACACCACAGTAAAAAGGAAACAGCAGACCAAACAAGCAAAACAAAATAAAATTACGTTCTCTGACATCTGAACTGCAGCTTAAGACTGAAATAGGAGACGTGTGTGTGTGTGTAAAAGAAGCTGTATTGTGTGAGGCGAAAGGGTTTAGTCTCACAACAATCCTGCCCGCTGTTTCTGGTTTGTTACAGTTGGAGGCAGAATGCTCAGTGAAAGTAATTTTGCTCTGATTTAGCCAGCTGCTTTTGTTTTTATTAATTATGAATAGTTTGATATTCATCGAAAGTGTATAAATTTGTACTTTATGAGTTACTCAGCATGACTAGCTTTGTCAACATCACCCTTACCTAGTATCCTCTATAACTCCCCATTGAAGTCCGGGCCCAATTCAAGGTGTTGGTAATGACCTATAAAGCCCTAAACGGCTTGGGTCCTGGTTACCTGAAGGAGCGCTTACATCCATATTTGCCCAGTCGCCCCCTGAGATCGGCGGGAGAGGCCCTTCTCCGGGAGCCCTCCGTGAGAGAAATTAGGAGGGTGGCTACTCGGAGAAGGGCTTTCTCAGCGGTGGCGCCTAAGTTATGGAATGCGCTCCCCAGAGAGGTCCGCCTGGCGCCGTCGTTATTTGTTTTTCGGCGCCAGGCTAAGACCTTTTTATTTAAGCAACATTTTAAATGCTAAATACAATTGAATTTTATCTGGCCAGGGCGGCTTATTTTATAATGTGAGTTTTAATTAAGATTATTTTATATGGATTTTAACTTGTTTTATCTATGTTGTAAGCCGCCCCGAGGCTTCGGCGAATGGGGCGGCATAAAAATGTTTAAATAAATAAATAAATAAATAAACTCTTTAAATTGTTTTAGCTCATTGACCTTGAACTGAACTGGACTGTTACAGAGCTCTTTGTAAGAATCTAGAAAGTTAACAGGATGAAAATAGATGTGTTTGAAACATAGTGCTGTAAGAAAGCTTTGCAAATGCCCTGAACCAACAGAAAGATTAAGAAGTCAGTTCTACATCAAATCAAGCCAGAACTGATGGTCCATTAGGATGTGGATATTTGATGCCACTAAACCTCTTTTTGTATTTTAAATTACGTAGCGTATGTACTGGGTTTTGGCTTTTTTAGTTTTATAATTGTTTTAATTGTCTGATTGTGAGCCACCTAGAGATGCTAGGGCAACAATAAACAAACAAACAAACAAACTTGCCCAGAAACTTACAAAACTGAAGTTGTCCTTGTTGGAGTTGTCCTCATAAAAGTTATAGTTTTATATATTGGAATATAGAAATCTTTGCCTTCTTTCCATCAACCCTGCCCCCCCCCCCACCAAATGTGCAGGGTATTTCCATTCAGGTTCCTTCTACAGGAGAAGTATATGAGCCCCAGGATATATGGATACTATTTTATTGAAACAAAACTCAAAAAAGAAGGAAATAGCAGTATTCCACAGCATAGGAAATACAAAAAGAAAACCCTGAACTTATAGTAGCATAGTCACTATCCTATTACTTGTACAAACTAATCTACTGGGGAAAGGAGGGTTAAATTGTTTCTTCTGTTTAGAATTCCAGGTTACTTTTATTCAGTCCTTCCCTAACTTTGGTTATTTTGCAACCTGCATCAGCAAAGTACAGGAGAATGGGAATTGAACTGAAGGCAGTCTGACAGTGGAACCAGCTGCCAAGAGAAGTTTTGTGCTGTTCCATACTAGATGCTCTTAAGAAGCAATTGGACAATTATCTGATCAGGATGGTGTAACTGGCATCCTGCACTAGCGGCGGGTTGGACTCAATGGCCTTTCTCACCCCTTCTGATCTGGCTGTTCTGTGAATCTGTGAATTCCAAAACATCTAGAAGGCACCAAATTTTGCGAAGCCTTGATATAAACTAGCATGATACTACTTTCTGAAACATGCAATTTAAATTCAACCAGCATTAGTTTTCAGTGAACAGTCAAGACTGCACAATTTAATGGAAGCCTGGAGCTACACCAGGGTTCATGCCAGGAGCCAGAATGAGTCAAAGAACATGTATTAATACCCAGGCAAGTCCCACTCAACCTGGGTAGAGGGAAAATCTTTAATTCTGTGGGGTAAATATTGCAACTCTAAGCCTGGTGACTCCACACAGGGCAGCTATCTATATGGAGCCTCAGCTTCCCAGTTCTAGACTTGGCAGCTCCTGATACCAGGTGTAGTCATGTTGTGGCAAAACTATTTGCAACAGTTTTGTTGCACTGGACTGCTTGCACTGGACTTTGTTCCAGGTTTATTGAAATCAAAGTGCAAAGTAGCATTTTCTATTGTGCAAAACAGTGTAGCTAATGGCATGCTTACAGGGCTTAAACAAAGCAGTTCTATTCATGTTTACTCAGAAGAACCTCCTACTGATTTCAGTGCGACTTACTTTGGGATTAGTTTGTATAGGATCGCAGCCAAAGTGTACCTTTACCAACATATTCCTTATTCAGCAACATACAACACCAAATTTCACCTACACTGTTCTGTAGTTTTAGTTAGAGCATTTTCAGAATCGTCTTGTCTATAATACGACTGGTCAGTGCTAATAACTTTCTGTTGCTTCAGTTTAAGTGTCTGCAAAAACTTGACGGTATACAAAGCAGCTATGCTTTTCTTCCATTTTTTTAAATGTTAAACAAAGTTAAAGAAAGTTATTCTGCACGTGTATACTCAGAAATAAATTCTACAGAGTTTAATTGGACTTACTCCCAGGAATAGGGTTGCAGCCTAAAAGAAATATAAACGCACGGTCCTGTTAATGTTTAGATACAAATAAACCCTACATCTCTTAGCATTAGACTAGTTTCTGTTTAAACATGCATAGGACTGTGTCTTTAATTATTTTAAAATGTCTATTCCATGGTTTAGCACTAGTATTTCCAGGAAAGCAAACAATTATACAAATAAGTAAAAGCATCCACTTATCTTTACAATCTTAAATTAAAATAGAACAGAAAACTTGCAGCATAAAATCAGAATTTACAAGGTCTGGGGTGGTTAGAAGGCCTGAGGAGAGAAGGATGGTTGGGGTTGAAAAGACATGAACGGGTGCCAGGAAAACCTCTTTTGAGAGTAGGCTCCAAAGGGGGGAACCACAACTGGGAGGGCTCTCCCCACCAGTCATCAATAGAGATATCAGAGAAATATGAAACAGATTTAAATTGGTTTGAATTTCTGTAAAAATTTCTGTGGTTTTCACATGAGACTATCATCTGTAAATCAGGAGGATTATATTGATTCAAAGCTTTTACATTTTATATGAAAGTTATGCAAATTAATTTATTTTGAAAAAAAAGCAATTTAGATAAAGCTTTTTACAGAAACCCACAAAAACATATACACTATTTTTACTTTAAATGTTACAAAAATTGTGTAACTTGTCATGAAAACTGAGCACTTTACTGCAGGCTTTTTAATGTACTTTTTAGAAACAAAAAGCCCTAATTTTGTTGGTGGATGAATGATGAAATAGACAACCTCCAATCCATGCAACTCATGAAGAATGGATTCAGCCTAATCAAGACATTCCTAGTCAGCACGTCAACACAGATGGTGTTGATACAGACAGATGGGCTTCTGAAGATGACAGTAGCATAAGAGCAGGTTCATGTAGAAGAAGATGAGCATTCAGGCCCTTAAAGATCAGCAGTATAATTTTGATTCATACTGGGAAATAGATGGGCAGCCAGGGAAACTATTTAAGTACTGGAGAAAGAGGTTCTCAATGGCTTGACCCAGTTAGCAGCATCATCTTGTTTCTAAATTGTATGTTTGTGGTTACCAAACTGAGAAAATGTAGAGGTGTTTCATATTTAAAAGGTTCTCTTCATGGTAGATTAAAATATTACATACTTTAGAATCTTGATATGGAAGAATCTTGATATGGATCCACCATCTTAGTGACTGTGTAGTACAAGATCCTTTTTTTAACCTGCTCTGAGGCTCCTGTTTTGAACTTTAATCCTATTTTCAGCCAAACAAAAGCATGACATATGGATGATTGTCACATTTTTATATGATGAAACAAATGTTTAAAATATTTAACTTAGCTGTACTGTGTTTTGAAGAGTTTTCCTTGGATGCTATATTATCTATAACATTTGGAAGCATGTAAAAATAACCAGTTAATTGCAAGTATATTCATAACAAGCCAAAAGGCTTTGATGGGTCATGAATCTAGCTGCACAAAGATTCTATTGATGTAATAGGCAAAAATTTATAGTCAAAGGTATGTAAACCAATTTGTATGTAAAACTGTTGTCACTAAATTGTAATTCAATTTTTTCCAGATGTCTTTTTCATGTCAAAAACTATAAAGTACTGGAATTTTTCCTTTTTCTTGAGTTATTTTCAACTTTGACCTTTTCTTGAAAGCAACTTGCTTGGAATGTATGCTTGAACCAAGCCCGGATTTGTTTTCCTGTGCAGTTCTAAATTATACCTCAGTTTAGAATATGCTTGCACTTCTTTAACCTAATTAGATGTCCAGGAAGATTCAATAAGCTGTCTTTTTATATCCATTTTACATCCAACCATCTGGCAGCAGTTAAATAATTGTTTTAGCAAATGGGATGAAAAAGTAATTTCCAATCCAAACTATTTGTTGC